CGTGATGCCGAGCTGGAGAAACAGGCCCTGGACTGGGTGGAGGCCAACCTCGGTGAGCCCATCGATAGGAAGAAGCCTTATGATGATGTACTTAAAGACGGAATCATCCTCTGCAAGTAGGTTTTACAATGATAACAATACTACACCCCGGTAGTTCCACATGTAGGTATTTCCTTGAATGATCAACTGAAACTATAAAAAAACCGTTGATATATTGTAGTATTCTGCTTTATAGTAATATCTAACACGTTCTTGTCCTCTGTAAAAAAGTGAATTAATAATAACTAACGCTGACCTTTTTAACAGAGCGTGATCTTGCTTTCTTGGGTAGAACGTCATATTTCCTCTCATATGATATACTCTGATTTTTCTTCTGTGATAGACGTCGGACTTTGTCGTCACTGATAGAGCCTGACCTGTCCTCTGTGGTAGAATGTGATCTTGCCTTCAGTGACAGAACATGGTCTTTCTTTCTCCACAGAATGATGAACAAACTGAACCCCGGGTGCATCAAGAAGATCGACACAAAGGGAGGTGGCTTTGCCCTGATGCAGAACATCGAGAGGTTTTCCAACGCTGCTACCAAGTTCGGTGTTCCTCCAAATGAAGTGTTCCAGACAGTTGACCTCTGGGAGAAGAAGAACATTCCCCAGGTCACGCTCTGTATCCATGCGCTCGGGAGAATTGTAAGTTTCCATTTTACGGCCTAGTTATAATCCTATAGGGGACAGGTGGGTGGGTGTTAACGCCATGTTGGGCAGTATCACAGCTGTATCATGGCGGTCTGATGTCCTTGAGCAAGGGGCAGATAACCCAGCAAAAGCTATGTTATCATGTTGCAGTGACACAAGCACAGGGTCACGGTTGGAAACTGTTCATCCACGTGCTTTCACTGCCACCAAAGGACAACCTATGAGCAAGCATGATGTACTTAGTATTCTGCCATATACAAAATGACTGAATTAGAAGAACTGCGGGAACGCTTATTAATTTATACAATTGTACATTTAAAATATGCTTAGAGTTACCCTTGGAAAACCTCAGCCACCTCCTTGTGTAAGGGGCGATTCCCCATTTGGAAACAATATGTGAAGCCATTTCTGGTGTCCCCTACTATTACTGGAATATTTCGAATGCGAAAACATACAACAGTTGTGTCTTCGGCAATACGTTTAGGATATGGTTCAGGTGATTATGTCTAATTCTATGGCAAATTATCTCAGAAGAACACCGTTATTAACAAGAAGTTTGGTTTTATTTCAGTGCCAAACGAAACCTGATTACACCGGCCCAACTCTCGGACCCAAGATGGCGGAAGAGAATAAACGAGAGTTCACCGAGGCACAGTTACTCGAGGCCAAGAACATCGTGAGCCTCCAGTATGGCAGCAACCAGGGAGCCTCCCAGGCCGGCATGAACATTGGCAAGATGAGGAACATTAACGACTAGATGGACAATGCAATAACACTTCATTTATTATATAAACCTGAAAGGCAGGTGATTACAGATAGATAAGTAATAGTTTAAAAGTCACAGAAATATTTAGCCCGAAAACTGATAGTTTTTGCGAATCTATTCATTAACTGGACATGTTTTACTTTTGACTTTTCTTGAACGTATTTATAAGTAGGTATTACTTAAAGGGGTCTGGGCTCGGGCTAATTGGCAGATGTTGCCACTTTGATCTAAATTCCAAAAAACCATTTGTGTCTGGTCGGTCAAATTGTTATAATGTATATTAATCGAACAGTTCGCGATTGCCCTTATTTCTCAGGTTCTATGTCACAGTTTCAAGTAACTCTAATAACATCTGGCATAGGGAAAGTGAGCATAGTCCCCTTTCAACATTTTCCTCTGTGAGCATCTGCCTTCTTGTGTATCAAGTGGCCTTATGGTACACTATGTATGACTAGGTGATTAATGTGTACGCTTGTGAGTGTATGGGTGTAGTTATATACAGGTAGACCTGTCACATATTTATAGGCGTAGTATACACAGGGCCATGTCATCTAAGCATGCCAAAAACATGATTTGTCACCTTAAAGGGGGTCTTTGAACATCGTTTACGAACATGGTCTGGCGCATTACGAACTGATTTCACCGCGAGACGACATACCTAATATCTTAGTTTGTTGTTTATTGGAAGTAGCCGAAGAATGGACTGGATTGTGTTGCATTAAACTGAAAAGTTCTGTGTAGCATAACTCGAAGTGCCCCTTTAAGACTTTGTCAGCTTTCCACGTTTGCTGTGTATATATATATACATATTCTCTTTAGCTTTGTGTGGTGTCTGGTATCAGTTCTTACTTTCAAATATCAACTACTTTATTGTTCTGCTTTGTCCAAGTTCTTATTCTTATGTTTCACGTGAAGTTCACATATCGAGCTTGCAGACAATTTCTTTGTTTCGAAGGTCTGTAAGGACGAATTATTGTTTGTCCAGCAACCATATTAAATGTTCTGTTAACTAGTTGTACAGATAGCATTATGTATGAAATTTTCGTTTAATTATTATGTCATCAGAATAGTGTTTTGTAATTTATTGCATTTTTTTCAAACATTCGAAAATTGAAATATTTTCTTCGATTAAACTTGAATATCACTAGAGTTACTTTTGTTCTTTGTTAATCCTACATCGTTTCAAATAGATATGGGGCTGTCGGGTAGCCTAGTGGTTTAAGCGTTCGCTTGTCACGCCGAAGACCCGGGTTCGACTCCCGACATGGGTACAACGTGTGAAGCCCATCGTCAACCTCAACAGGATGTGACGTTGTGATTTGGATAAAGTCCTCAACGCGTGACGTATTTCAAACTTTATGGATCAACCGAATATCGTATTAGCTTGGTTATTATGATCCAGCTTCTTCTAATTCTAATCCAGCTTCTTCGCTAGAAATGTGTACTTGTCCACGTGTTAGAGGCCTGTGTTCACCTGCTATAGGTGAGGTGAGGTGAGGTAAGGTGAGGTGAGGTGAGGTGAAATGGGGTTTAACGTCGCGTCCAAGAGTATTGCACTTATATAGCGACATGCATGCATGTGTGTGTGGCTGCTTGTACTAGTCTGGACTGATGCCGATTTTACAGTGCCAGCCCACTGAGATACCATCCCGCAGTTTTACATGAACACCCCACTCAGACACAGTATACTGACTCCGGGCCGGTCAGTCCTTGTTTTTTTTTAGCCCCTTTATTGCCGAGCGCCAGGCAGGGTAACGACAAGTACCATTTTTTAACGTATTTTGGTATTACGCGGCCGGGGATCGAACCCCGGACCTTTCGCACCCCGGGCGGTCGCTCCACCACCAGACCACGGAGGCAGTTTCCACAGAGACCTCAGCTCTGAGATAGTCATTGAACGCCAACATAGACTTGCAGCAGTCCCTGTCATCATTGGTTTCATCAGCGTCTCACCGGAAGACCTGCATCACTTCGGGATTTTCCCGTAAATACCCATCTTCCCGAAGCAAGAGAGTTAACTGACTATCAAAGTCAAAGTTCCACCCTTGCCGAACTAGGCTGATATTATGGAGTTACATTTTGGCTGGACTAACGAGTCTATGCATAGTCCAATCAAAATAGCGCAACCAAATCGAAATCCGGTTTGTAAACTGTCGTGCAGATTTCGGTCGACTGCAGGATTTGAAAAACATGTGCACCGATAACTCGTTGTCAACAGATATTTTCCAAATCTTTTCATGTTTTTAATCAAGGTTCTCATGTGATATGATGCATTTCGCGATGTAAGACCCGTTTTATCACAATATAGATCTTGATCTATCAGATCGTCCTAACTTTGATTGGAGCAAATGCAGGTGATACAAGAGGTCGAATCTGATTGGTCCATAGGAGAGGCTTATAAGGGACATAACTCGTAATAGGCACTAGTGTCGCTACGATCGAGCCCAGGAATTCCAGCCTAGATCGACAAGGGTGGAAACTGGACTTTTAAAGTAAGTTAACTCTCTTGCCTCGGGAAGATGATAAGGACCAGACACGTCATATAGAACTGAAACTCTCTTCAAAGCGGCGTTAACCGCAACTCACTCACTTACTAACTACAGCAGTCAATAGCTATGACCACTGGACGACGTCTGGAAACACTTTTAACTATCCCACACAAAGTCCTGCTGGTTTCAGTTCATCACGGTCTTGTGGTGGATCGGAGCTGCCTTGTTAACCGAACAACGAGAGAGGAGGAAACACATTAACAAATAATACGATTATCCCCGTTTTCTGTGTCTGTCCAATCTGTGTCTCCTGTTTAAAAATATACATAAAATCGTGCAATATGATGAATTAAAATTATTATTTAATTATAAAAACATGATAATGTACTATGCATAAGTTCAAGTGGACCGGTCTCCATTATTTATAGCCGGATATTGCTGACTGCGCTTCAAAACTCTCACTCACTCACCCATGGAACGATGAAGACTGGCAGAAACTGATCAAGGACCTTGGGTATCATCTCATGATCAGCACCGATATATCAATATATCTCACTTAACAGCCGACATAACCTATACACACATTACAGAACGTGCGGAATCCGGTGTCGCAGGAAATGTCCCTAGTACCTAATACTAAGTCTTGCACAAGAAAAGTGTGATCTGATTGGTGTAATTATGTTGGCATAGTAACACGATATCTACATCTATGTTCTGTGTCACCAGCACTATGTATCCACACACACACACACTCGCACACACACACACACACACACAAACACGCACACGCACGCACGCACGCACACACACACTTCCAGCAGTTCTTCAGCAACCAATGCTTGCCGTAAAAGTCCACTATGCTTAGGCCAGGCTTTTTTTATTATTAGGATTACGGACTTTTCAGCCAAAAGCCCCTCGTAACAATAAACATTCTACCACTTACAACACGGACAATTGTCAAGGGAGGCTATTCATGTTCGGCTTCGAGATCAACAAAGATCAATTATGTATCTCTTAACTAGTTTACAACGGTAAATTCATGGGTTATTAAAAGGTGATGATAACAAATAAAATAACCGACTACGCGGCTAACGGCGGAAAAAAAATGGGAATCAGATTATTTATTTTTACATTCTCTCAAAACTTAGAGTCGGCGGGTCTGTAATCCGAAAAATATAAAACGCCTGGCCTCACCGGAAGAGGCGGCTACGGGATCGACTGGTCAGGCTCGCTGACTTGGTTGATCGTATCTCAATTCCATGGATCGATGCTCATGATATCAATCATTTGATTGTGTGGTCCATACTCGATTATTTACAGGCCGCTGTCATATAGCTGGAATATTGCTGGGTGCGGCGTAAATCAACAATAAAGGAAACGAAAGACTTTAATCGAACTTGAACCACCTTCGTTAGGACGGTCAACGCATGAGCACGGTAACATGTAGAACGAAGCGGCAGTAAAATATCTACATCCACGGGGAAGTGGAACACCGCCGTGAGAAAAGCAAGCCTCTCGGCCAATAAAGATGCGCGCCAGAGTATGTGTTCCAACTGCCGTCACGGATCGGTCAATCTCCGCCTGATGAATTCTGGATTGCTGTGAAAAGTTATTTCAAGAGAAGACTTAAAGCATGGAATAATTATCTCATACTTTTCGGATATGTGAAATTAATTAACACTGATTAACAATTTATAAAAAAAGTGGGACTGTTTTGTTTTGTTTTAATCTCCTGTCCTGTTGTATTCATACTATCGACCACTCGTTTCCCTGGTCGAGGCCTCATAATTGTTATACGTGATGACTAAACCAACGTGACCACCATCTAGCCACGAACAGTGACATCCTACGGCATAGCTGCACATGCGCAATGTACCTCTCCAAGATTGTGCCTATGACGTCTTTATCTTGAAATGATTACGAAACCGTGGAAATTCCGAGTAAAAATACAACTTGGTCCCCACCCTCAACCTAGGCTGATCGTAATAGGCGACTTAACGGAATGGGTGGTCAGGTCAGACTCGGGGACTTGGTTGATGACGTTTCATCGCACTCCGACAAGGTGAGACGTTGCTCAGACCATCAATGAGTGGATTGTCTGGTCAAGCCTCGATTCTTTACAGGCCGTCGGCACATAGCTGAAATATTGCTTTACCACCTTATTGAATCCCTCGAATCCATTCACCAAGTTGTTTGTTTGTTGTTTAACCCCGCACTTAGCAATATTCTCGCTATATGACGACGTTCTGTAAATAACTGGGTCTGGACCAGACAATCCAGGGATCGACATCATGAGCTTCGATCTACGCAATTGCGGTACGATGACATGCATCAATCAAGTCACCGAGCCTGACCACCCGACCCCGTTAGTGCTCGTTTATACAAGCATGGGTTATTTAGGATTCTAGCCTGGATCTTCACGGGTCCATTCACCAAGGACATGGCCATGACGCTACATTATTCTTACCCCTGTCAAAGGATCAGTGTGCACGCAAACTTCTTTTTCAGCTCCCAGGGGTATTCAATCCAAGTTGCCTATGATGCAGTAGAAGGTGAACAGTATCGTAACCATCTCATCCTACCGGGTACCCATTCACTGCTGGGTGAACAGAGGCATCTTTCGAACCCATTCAGTTGCCAAAGGAGACGCCACGTGTTACATGTGTTTGAAAGTGGGGCAGGACCGAAGCCCTACAACCTCTCAGGAGTCATATTTGCTGAACAGTCAACAAGTGCGGACAGAGAGTCAGTGAGTGAGGTGAGGTGAGGTGGGGTGAGGTGAGGTGAGGTGAGGTGAAATGGTGTTTAACGTCGCGCCCAAGATTATTGCACTTATATATAGACGTGCATGCACGTGTATGTGTGGGTGTGTGTGTGTGGCTGCTTGCACTAGTCCGGACTGATGCCAATTTATAGTGCTAGCCCACTCAGATACCATGCCGCAGTTTAACATGAATACCCCACTCAGACACAGTATACTGACCTCGAGCCGACCTGTCCTTGTTTTATGCCCTTTTGTGCCGAACATCAGACAGGGTAACAACAAATACCATCTTTTAACGTCTTTTGGTATTGCGCGGCCGGGGATCGAACCCCGGACCTTCCGCTCTCCGGGCGGAGGCTCTACCTCTAGACCACGGAGGCGGTCAGTGAGTGCGTGAGCAAGAGTGAGTGAGTAAGCAAGAGTGAGTTAGTGAGTTTGATTTTTCGCCGCTTTTAGCAAAATTCGATTTAATGAGTTTCCACTCCATAACGATAGCTTTCTCCTGTGCTATACAGACGTACACGTGTCCCCTCGGAACCTATGCTCGTAGTGTCAGGCGATGTCGTGAGTCGGGTTCGGTGACATGGCTGACTGTAAACGTTTTACCCCGACGACGTAAGACGTTGCTCATAATATCAATCACTTGATCGTCTTGTCCAGGTCTGATTATTTAAAAAGCCGTCGTCACATAGATTGAATACAGTTCGAGTGCGGCGTTAAACAACACACACTCATATACTTACAAAATTCAGCAATGGGTTCGGTGTGACAATATTCCAGGATATTAACGTCGGAGGGACAAAGGACGACCTTCACACATTACACATACATATACCCAAGACAGGAATCAACCCCGGCGAATGCTCCTTCCTTACACGAGAGTTCAGGACAACCAGAGTTATGTCCCTTATACCATGCCCGTGCATACACTTCATCAATCATAAAATAAAATTGTTGCTCATGCGAGCAATCACTAGTTTGCTTGGTCCACATAAAACAATCCAAACGTACGTTTTCTGACGTATTTTTATTGACACATTTTGTACTTTGAATCAGTTGCGAAAATACCAAAAGAGCAAAACAAACAACTGCTAATATTTATGTGTGTATCAGAATTCTAGGTTTTATATTTGCACAAAAAGATTCTAACTTAAATTAGAACTCACCGTTTAGTTTTCTGCCCTATATTTGACTAAGGATACTAAATGTTATTTTCGTCAAAATTTAACCCAAAAAATATGTTACTTGATAAATGCCACATACTGTTTCCCCATTTCCTACAACTGTGCAACGCGAGTCACCCCCCCCCCCCCCCCCCCCCCCCGTAAGAAGTAGACACAAAACCAGATGAAATAAATCAAAAATAAAATAAACATGAAAAAGTGACGACTAAATTAAAAATTAGATATTCTGTTAAATTATTTGAGACGATTTATCGTTTTGCAGATCACACAACATTGAAGAAACCAAATCTCGAACACTGAATGTTAATAATTGATAATAATAATAATAATAATAACCAACAGTAACAACTTACTGCATTCAAAAACTTGTAAAATACAATGTATAATTAAGATGATAAAAATCTTATTCTCACAAATTGCATTATTGTTGCATTACCGGTTTAAATAATATTGCCATTTCAAAGTGTGTCGGTAAGAGTCGGCTGTTCTCGGCAGAACCGAAATATACCGAAACCTGCCGACTACTGTCGAAAGAATCAATCGTCGGGGTCGTTTTCTACTCGATGGTTGCATAGCTGGCGGTTGTAGCGTTGATAGTAGCCGTGGAAGTCCGCCTCGCCCAGACACTCGGCCAGCCGCAGATCACACCGACAGGTCGTGTAGGCGCAAGCATTGTGAACTGGCGAATCTGAAAACAGTTTTGCTCTTTACTGACCCGACAGTTACAAGTATGTTCTTTTACATAAAACACATCCTTCCTTTCTCTAACTTAAAACACATCCCTCCTTTTTCAAACTTAAAACACATTCCTCCTTTCTCAAACTTAAAACACATCCCTCTTTTTAAAACTTCAAACACATCCCTCCTTTTTCAAACGTCAAACACATCCCTCCTTTCTCAAACTTAAAACACATCCCTCCTTTCTCAAACTTAAAACTCATCCCTCCTTTTTCAAACTTAAAACACATCCCTCCTTTCTCAAACTTAAAACACACCCCTTCTTTCTCAAACTTAAAACACATTCCTCCTTTCTCAAACTTAAAACACATCCCTCTTTTTTAAACTTCAAACACATCCCTCCTTTTTCAAACTTAAAACACATCCCTCCTTTCTCAAACTTAAAACACATTCCTCCTTTCTCAAACTTAAAACTCATCCCTCCTTTCTCAAACTTAAAACACATCCCTCCTTTCTCAAAATTAAAACACATCCCTCCTTTCTCAAACTTAAAACTCATCCCTACTTTTTCAAACTTAAAACACATCCCTCCTTTCTCAAACTTAAAACACATCCCTCTTTTTTAAAACTTCAAACACATCCCTCCTTTTTCAAACGTCAAACACATCCCTCCTTTCTCAAACTTAAAACACATCCCTCCTTTCTCAAACTTAAAACTCATCCCTCCTTTTTCAAACTTAAAACACATCCCTCCTTTCTCAAACTTAAAACACACCCCTTCTTTCTCAAACTTAAAACACATTCCTCCTTTCTCAAACTTAAAACACATCCCTCTTTTTTAAAACTTCAAACACATCCCTCCTTTTTCAAACTTCAAACATCCCTCCTTTCTCAAACTTAAAACACATCCCTCCTTTCTCAAACTTAAAACTCATCCCTCCTTTCTCAAACTTAAAACACATCCCTCCTTTCTCAAAATTAAAACAGATCCCTCCTTTCTCAAACTTAAAACTCATCCCTCCTTTTTCAAACTTAAAACACATCCCTCATTTCTTAAACTTAAAACAAATCCCTCCTTTCTCAAACTTAAAACACATCCCTCCTTTCTCAAACTTAAAACACATCCCTCCTTTTTCAAACTTAAAACACATTCCTCCTTTCTCAAACTTAAAACACATCCCTCTTTTTTAAAACTTCAAACACGTCCCTCCCTTTTCAAACTTCAAACACATCCCTCCTTTCTCAAACTTCAAACACATCCCTCCTTTCTCAAACTTAAAACACATCCCTCCTTTCTCAAAATTAAAACTCATCCCTCCTTTTTCAAACTTCAAACACATCCCTCCTTTCTCAAACTTAAAACACAGCCCTCCTTTCTCAAACTTAAAAACACATTCCTTCTTTTTCAAACTAAAAACACATCCCTCATTTCTAAAACTTAAAACACATCCCTCCTTTTTCAAACTTAAAACACATCCCTCTTTTCTCAAACTTAAAACACATCCCTCCTTTCTCAAACTTAAAACACAGCCCTCCTTTCTCAAACTTAAAAACACATTCCTTCTTTTTCAAACTTAAAACACATCCCTCATTTCTAAAACTTAAAACACACCCCTCCTTTCTAAAACTTAAGATTTGGGTTTAAGGTGATGTAGGCATGGAAAACTGTCAACCAGTAGACCATTTATGAGGTGAGGTGAAATGGGGTTTAACGTCGCGTCCAAGATTATTGCACTTTTATAGCGACGTGCATGTACGTGTGTGTGTTTGTGTGGCTGCTTGTACTAGTCCAGCTGATGCCAATTTATAGTGCTAGCTCACTGAGATACCATGCCCAAGTTTAACATGAATATCCCACTCAGACACAGTATACTGACTCCGAGCCGACCCGTCCTTGTTTTAGCCCCCTAATGCCAAGCGCCAGACAGGGTAACAACAAGTACCATATTTTAACGTCTTTTGGTATGACGCGGTCGGGGATCGAACCCCGGACCTTCCGCTTTCCGGGCGGACGATCTACCTCTAGACCCCGGAGGCGGTCCCATTTATGAAACATAATGAATTGTTTAAACACAACATCAACAACGCGTTTAAGATGGTCTCTCCTCTCTCTTATCGCGAATAGCTGCAATATTACTGGTGCGGCTTCAAGCAATATGTACTCACTCACGCACTGTCTACTCTGAAACAAGTCCCTATTTCCAGAGTTTGAAGCTGACAGATGTTAATTCTTCACGTATCCATGTCTCCGTTCCTTGCTTAAATGTCACACCCTTGTCAAAAGGTGTTACCTGTGCAAGTACATGTTGCCATGGATTACAAAAACTTCATATTCCCTTCCCTTGAAAAAACTCTTTCACGCTGCGTCAGCAATTTTAGTGGCTACAGACGGCTACAACAAAACGAATCCAGACTGATATCTGGATGCAAAAGTTGGACAGTTATATAAAAAAACACAACGACAGTGTTGCCACGGCATTTCAGTGTCACTCGATGATGACCCTAGGTTTGTCATCACCACACCATGATCGTAGGCTTCATCAAAGTGGTAAACGTCTAACATTCCGGTCCCCCTCCCACATCAAGATGATACCGGCTGTGACATAACTGAAAACTGTAGCAAGCGGCCTTAAAACAAACTCACTCACGGTGTGGCGCTAATGCCCCAAATACATACTGGGTTTGGTGAAACATTGTTTGTCCATGTGAAGCAGTTTGACCTTCGGTCCACACACACTGACGTCAACGTTACCGTCGTGGAATGTGGCCTGCATGGCGGTGAAGGGTCAACTGCCTTTGATTGACATTACCGTCGCTTACTGGAATTCCTGTTCACACGTCTGGGTCATCCTGAGATCGTTGGAGGCCGCCACAGCGGTGTGTGGGTTTAGTTAAAGTGGTGGCTGACAACCCGCCCGTCTCTCTGTATAGGCACGAGTCTTGAGCCCGCCAATAATGTGAGTGAGTGAGTGAGTGAATGAATGAGTGAGTTGGTTAACGCCGCTTGGATACCTGTACAGCGGCAGTTTGATCCGTCACATTATACAACACCGACAACGACTCACCTGTACAGCGGCAGTTTGATCCGTCACATTATACAACACCGACAACGACTCACCTGTACAGCGGCAGTTTGATCCGTCACATTATACAACACCGACAACGACTCACCTGTACAACGGCAGTTTGATCCGTCACATTATACAACACCGACAACGACTCACCTGTACAACGGCAGTTTGATCCGTCACATTGTACAACACCGACAACGACTCACCTGTACAACGGCAGTTTGATCCGTCACATTTTACAACACCGACAACGACTCACCTGTACAGCGGGATTTTGATCCGTCATATTGTACAACACCGACAACGACTCACCTGTACAACGGCAGTTTGATCCGTCACATTATACAACACAAACAACGACTCACCTGTACAGCGGCAGTTTGATCCGTCATATTGTACAACACCGACAACGACTCACCTGTACAACGGCAGTTTGATCCGTCACATTGTACAACACCGACAACGACTCACCTGTACAACGGCAGTTTGATCCGTCACATTGTACAACACCGACAACGACTCACCTGTACAACGGCAGTTTGATCCGCCACATTGTAAAACACCGACAACGACTCACCTGTACAGCGGCAGTTTGATCCGTCACATTATACAACACAAACAACGACTCACCTGTACAGCTGCAGTTTGATCCGTCACATTGTACAACACCGACAACGACTCACCTGTACAGCTGCAGTTTGATCCGTCACATTATACAACACAAACAACGACTCACCACTACAGCGGCAGTTTGATCCGTCACATTGTACAACACCGACAACGACTCACCTGTACAGCGGCAGTTTGATCCGTCACATTGTACTCCGTATCCCACCCACTGGGGGTAAAACCAGAAACAGGACACCTCCCCGTAGCAGTTGTCGTGCTTCCGGCAGCATCTGACAGTAACAACAATACAACGTTCTATGGAGCTTCCTCTAGCCTAGTGGTTAAAGCGTTCGCTCGTCAAGCCGAAGAACCGGGTTCGATTCATGCTGAGGTCATAGGAACTGATACATGCTACTTTCCTTAGAACTGCACTTGTTCCTTTGACACCAATAAATATTAAACTTTAGGGCCCCTCATAAACAGCAAATGATTCCCTTTTATTAACCATGTAATTTAATTTACGCCACCAAAACAGGCTCAATTTATTGAGGAATAGTCAAGAAAGCTTGGTTTCCAATTAAAGCCGGCACATTATACAGTCCAAAGTGTGTTGGTGTTTATTAGGAGAACTACAGTATAACAGCAGGGTTAGTTGTTGAACTCACGTATCCACATCGTCTAACGGTTTCCTCCCTTGGTTCCCGAGGCCACAGAAACACCCGTATCCATTGTACTCAAGGCAGCTCCGATTGGTGTGGAGCGTGATCAGGCCGCACATTTGGAGGATGGTCCTTTTTTGGATTGAATGAGACTTGGCTCTGTCTAAGGGGCCGCAGTTTACATGGGATACTGAAATAAAAAGACGAGTGTTCAGGTGTGTAATGTGTCAGTTCACCGTTAAAAGAGGACCGTGTTGAATGGTTGGGTTCATAGTGAATAGTGACAAAAGGCATAAATATTGTTTCCTTTCTGAAATTAGCGTTGTTTTAATACATGTATTGCGTCTTCTCAGAATGAAGGCGGTTTGACAGCAGTGTGCATTTAGTGTAGTCAGCTCGCTGACTTGGTTGATGTATCCCAAATTGCGTAGATCGATGCTTATGATGCCAATGACTGGATTGTCTGGTCCAGACTCGATTATTTTCAGACCGTAGTCATATAGCTTGAATATTAAGTGCGGCTTAAACAACAAACAACCATACAAAGATGTTTTCAAAAATGTTTAAGGTTTATGAATCCTTTACTCGATACCTAGGTTATCTAAAGGCTTCACTGCACTTAACAATTCGGATCGCGACCTGGTCAGGGGTGGAGGCGAGGTTAAATAGGGTTTGACGTCGCGTTCAAGATCATTGCACTTATACAGCCACGTGCATCCGCAGTTGTCTGTGTTGGTCCAGATTTATGCCGGTTTTATAGTGCCAGCCTACTGAGATATTATGCGGAAAATAAATATATTGATACCCAATTCACCCACAGTGTCCTGACTCCTAGCAGACCAGTGCTTGTTTTATCCCCTTAATGCCGAACGTCAGGCAGGGTAACAACAAGTACCACCTTTTAACGTCATTTGGTATGACGCGGCCAGGGGATCGAACCACCGACCTTCCGCTCTCCAAGCAGACGCACTATCCCCTAGACCACGGAGGCGGTCCGGTCAGTGATCGAGGGATTGTTACTTTTCAAGTGCACTGTGTGTGCAGGGGGACTCTGTAGTCTCCACTGGGGCGATGGGGTAGCCTCGTGGTTAAAGCGTCAAAATTGATAGAAAACAGCTGTTCGATTTAGCGGAGGTTAATGTGTGCTATGTGATTCATTGATTCGAAAAAAGCGTGCGGCCTTTTGCTTCAGAGCGAGGTATATGGGATTTATTGTTCCGCTGAGAATTCCACGTGCAGCCTCTTTTCTTCGTGGTGGGGTAGAAGGGATTTATTCTCCCTCTCAGAAATGTATTTCCCTCGCAGGCGGGATACAGGGTACTTTATCAAGATCACGTGGACCAATCAGATTTCGTCTTTCTGACATAAAGGTGTGATAAAGGGTTTTGTCGCTTATATTTATGTCGCCACGCCGAGGAGCCAGGTTCGATTCCTCACATGGGTACAATGTGTGAAACACATTTCTGGTGTCCCCCGCCGTGATATTGCTGGAATATTGCTAAAAGTGGCGTAAAACCATACTCACTCACCCACTTTAATTTCCTATGTTAAAGTATGGACTACAACATTAAAGATGGCTTTACGGACAGAAGCTGCTCGGGACATTGGGCACTATGTCACTGGCACTATGTTAAAAGATCTCAGGTTTGTGTGTATTGATGAACGAATTAAGGACATCATCTTTCGCAAACACATTAGCCAGGTTTTGAACCCGAGGACTAAAGTGTGAAACGGTGCAGGGTTAATCGTGAATTATAGCACTGTTTTGTGACCGGAGGCGTTAACAAGCATCATTGAAATTATTCGTAATTTTGGGATTGACTTCAACGAGAGGAGAAAATTATTTATTTTTGGGAAAGTATTCAATGTACTGCATCAGCTAACTAAAGCGTTCACACAGATAGCCGGAAGTTGCTGTAAAACCAGTTTAAGCTATTAACTATGAGAGTCACCGGATCGAGCGAAACGGATGCTGCAGACCAATCAGTGTTAATAACTCCTTATTGGATGAGGCGTGAAGCCTTCAAGAATATCTTAAACAAATTTACTGGTAATTACGTTCTTGAAACTATTCATTGAATGTAACCTAAGAACGGCACAGAAATATCTAATATAAACTTATATCCGACAATGATTCAGATTCATTTAATAAATTGATTAATTCTAATTTTACTGCATACAATGAAACGGCCAACTTGTCAACAGCCTTACAACGGCTCTTCATTTGAGTATGCGTATGTGCGTGTGTTTCCTCGTGTCTCCTATTTTTCAAAAACATGAATGACGTATTGATTGAATTGACAAATGCGATATTCAATTACCTACATACAACAAATCAGGAGATATAGATATTACTTAAAACCAACATATACCAGGGAAAAGTGTAGCTGGCGATAAATATTGTGTATAAAAACATGTGCAACCGAAAGCAAATCAGGTGGGGAATAGGTAACACTCAAGACATCCACTGTTACTGCAGACCAGGCCAAACATTATCAACTAATATGCATTTAAGCGTATCTATTGGCCATGCATTAATTTACACGCACGCTATATAAAACGCATCAAGTGAAGTTGCAGATCAGGTCAAACATTATTAACTTACATGCATTTAAGCGTATCTATTGGACATGCATTAATTTTCACACAGGCTATATAAAACGCATCCAGTCAAACTGCAGATCAGGTCAAACATTATTAACTAACATGCATTTAAGCGTATCTATTGGCCATGCATTAATTTACACACACATGCTATATAAAACGCATACAGTCAAACTGTAGATCAGGCCAAACATTACTAACTAACATGCATATAAGCGTATCCATTGGCCGTTAATTAATTTCACACACATGCTATATAAAACGCATTCATTGGAGCTGCAGATCAGGCCAAACATTACTATCTAACATGCATATAAGCGTATCCATTGGCCGTGGATTAATTTACACGCACGCTATATAAAACGCATTCATTGGAGCTGCAGATCAGGCCAAACATTAATAACTGACATACATGTAAATACATCCACGGGCATGAAGATCATGTCAAGCATTAATTTTCACACAAGCCAAATGCACTCAGGCAGGTTGGGACATAAACTGCTGGGCAAAAGAAAGAATACATCGATGTTTGATGGTTGCTGAAAATAGAACAAGAAATGGATATTCGAAGTGATGTATTTGACACGGAACTCATAGTCGAGTTTCGGGCCTTAAGTTCGCAGTGTTTGGGCGACTGATTTCAGCCTAGTAACGTTTTGATGACGTAAGTTTTTGTCAAATCCACTTTTCAAGTGTATACTTTCTTTTTCTCGGCAGTTTAAATTAACGGAGTATAGCCCAATAAAACGCACCCAGTGGACCGTCAGGACAACATTATGATTGACACACATGTAAACGCAGCACATGACCTGAGGATACATCACAGTAAGGCACACATGCATACACGACAAGCCATGGCCGCCATTCAGAAAGTACAACCAGACAGAAGCACGTGACATGCCATTGATGGACGAGAAGTTACTTACCCACAAGGAAGGACACCATCGCGACAAGGGCGGCCATTGCTATCCCTCGAGTGTACTCCATGACTCTGTAGTGTACGGATGAAGATTCAGATGGCAATGCACATACAAGTGGTATGATGGTGCACTGATGGAATAACATCACTTAACACACATCGGTGATGTCACTCTATTGTTTGAGTGAAACCTTTTTTTCCACGAATGGACCCCTGGTTGTTAATTATTCCTCCCTATCCATGATATTGGAGATGTATGATACGCACCTTTAAAAGCGTGTTGCAAATGCAGAAATGTTTCAGAGGGGCAGACCAAATTTTTCGCTTAATACAAGACGTATCTATGACGTCACTCTATTTTATAATACGTGATTGGGGTTTTACGCCGCTTTTAACAGTATTCCAGTTGTATCATGCATGTCAGCTTATTGTGGAAGGAAAGCCTGACGTGATGCGGGTCTTATACGTTTACCGTATACGTTTGGTGAAACCAAGGACCACGGGTATGGTGCTGACAAACCGAGAAACATAATCGGGTCAAACCGGGATTCGAACCCACAACCATAGGTTTTTATCGTGCTCAAGGGACATACCTCTGAACAGCGAATTGCGCCGCCTTAGACGACTGAGCCACCCATGGCCTCCTATTGTTTAATGGTTTACTGACGTGCTTTGTTTGTTTTCGTTTTTTGTTGTTGTTTAACGCCACCCTCAGCAATATTTCGGCTATATGACGGCCGTCCATAAAAATCGAGTCTAGACCAGACAATCCAGTGATTTATAATGTGAGCAACGATCTACGCAATTGGGATACGATGACATGACCAACCAAATCAGCGAGCCTGACCACCCTATCCCGTTAGCTGCCTCTTACGACAAGCATAGTGGCCTCTTCAGGGATCTTCACGGGTCTATAGCTCAATGAGACGTATACACGTACATATGGAAAACACACAAACCTTTCTTCTGTAGATTACAATACGTTAAGTATCTTGCATACAGTGAATCCAGAACACGGACCCATGAATGTAACCATGGGGGTCAGTGCTCTCTGTCACCAAAGTGACCATATGCTAGGATTAACCCTACATCATTTACTGAGTATGAACCTCTTAAAGAAGGCATATACTAACAGACTGGCGCACTCACCACGACATTATCTTAACGTACCAGTCAGTCTGTGAACGTGGAGTGGGAGCCAGTTAAAGTAACTGAACTATGCATACAACTTAACGTGTGTATATTAATTGTATAAGACGTGCTCAACAGTGGTGGTCCTGGATGCAGAAATTGGGATGAGGCTAGGCTGGTTCCACTGTATCCCCTGTCATACTAGGAGTCCCGTAAAAATCCGGGTTAGAATAGGTCTTCAGCAACCCATGCTTGTCGTAAGAGGTGACAACCAGGAGCCTTTGGTCAGGCTCGGTGACTTGGTTGATTCATGTCATCGAATCCCAATTACGTAGATCGATGATCATGACGTCAATCACTAGATTGTCTGGTCCAGACTCGATTAATTACAGACCGCCGTCATATAGCTGGAATATTGGTGAGTGCGGCGTGAAACAACAAACGAACAAACAAACAAAAACGAACAAACAAGTAATACGAAGAATATTTCATGTCATGGAGTATTTCTTTCGCTGAACATTTACTATATACTATACGTGATTTGTTAACGTTAACATCATGCAAATTGGGGTCAGAAGCATCTATGTATACCGATTTCTAATCTTTAGGATACATTTAAAAGTTCTCTGTTTTAAGCATGAAACAACGCTACTTCTGTTGACCACTGGCAATGCAGTCGTATATCATTTATTACTAAAATGTATTCATCAAGTCAACATTGAATTCATTGATGACATATTATCACTCGCTAATTTCGATATATGTCTGAGTATCTTCCCACGACCAATACCTGACCAAACATACATGTTTTGGGTCTCGTTAGAAGATGCCTTTGGAAATTCAAGATAATGAAATTAGTGAGAGATAATCGATTCTCTTGAATCTGAATCAGAGTTTCTGTTAACACGTGTCACGTTCATCTATCATATGCCGGGCTATACGCGATGGGGTCATTCACACCAGCATCAACTCCCTCGTTCACCTCTCAGCAATAAACGCAGTTTTACAGTTGGTGGCAGTTTTACAACGAGGGTGAACATATTCCATCCTTGTGTTCTGTGGAATACATCAGTTGCATAACGCCGTCCTACTATGGGCTGGATAAGTTCTATATCTGGGATATACTAGTATGTAATTCAGATAAGAGCTTCAGAAGTTTGTATATTTATTATTAGGTTTGGAAAGTTTATGAATGATTTTTGTTTGTTTGTTGTTTAACGCTGCACTCAACAATATTCCAGCTATATGACGGCGGGTTTATATATGAAGGTGGACATAACTGACATACGGAGGTGATAGTAAAGTACGGTTATAACGAACTCAAAGGGACTACTAATTTTAGTTCGTTATAACCGTAGTTCGTTATAGGCATATATACAGCATAACTACAGCGAATAGTCGGGACCAAAAAGTAGTTCGTTAGATTCGTCAGTTCGTTATAAGCGTGTTCGTTTCAACCGTAGTCTACTGTATTTTACATGTTATATATGTTAATATATACATTTTGTACTGAATATATCGACTGTTTTGTTGAGAATATGGCAACGATTTTACCAATCATTAGTGAAGGTGATGAGGAATGTCTTAAACCACTGCAGGAACAATTATATATTGTCTTTTTTAAATGTCGAATTTGAAGTCAATATGTAAGTACTGGATACACGTGTTTCAGTTATATAATTTAACTTCCTGTAATGAAATGTTGACTTGATTTGACATCAAATGAAACTCGTGATTAATCGTTTCAGTTCGGCAAAGGTGATGTTCAGCCCAGTTTCACTGAATTGATTGTAAGGCATAAAACTTTGACTTTCTTGACATCGATTATGAACTATATTCGGACAATGAAATTTAAGAATGGGTTCAAAATACATCACACCTTAAATATGAAATCCAAGCACATACATACAAATACAGAATTTCCAAGTTGCACAGATAAGTTCAACTTGACGCATATATCACAAAGGAATGTTTACAGAGTACAACGGTGTTTGATTTCAGCAATCACTGCTGTTTCAATCTGTTCTCTGCTAATAAAGACATGGCTGAGGGTAATATACAAGCAGTTTCAGCTCTTGTTTCCCAGGAATCACTAAGCCTGATTCATGTAGCCTTTTTCAGGTGCTGATACTCTTAACCAGAACATTGAATAGCCTCTCTTACAGACTCCAGAGCATACAGAACAAGCACCCCATTAAATTCTCATCACCCTCTAAGTACCCTGTTCACACCACTTTTATACTCTGAAATTAAGAGACGTGAAGGTTTCTTAAATACTCGTACGTTTCCCTTGAAGAAGGATTTTTACTTAACCTTGCAAACAAATTCTTGTCAGGGCTATATGTTATGTAGTGAAGAACATTGATGAACCATTGCAGTCACGTTTCTCTGTTTCATACATGGTGACCATACACGAACACAACCACGAGTAAAGCTACCGGAGGAACTTTCATGTACCTCTCCTAAAACCACGCACGTTACGGTTGACATGAAATAGGAACACACAACACAGATGTAAAGCAGACAATTCTCAATAATCCTGGTTACCTAATCCTGCCGTCCAAGACAAAAATCTAGTGATGAGAAGAAGAAGACGACAGTGGGTACATACCTGTGTTACCGGGACGGTTGTATCGCCAAGCAGGGCTGAGAGGAGGGTATTGCCGCTAATTAGGGTTAAATGAAGTTCTTCTAATATGTATTGGTACGAGACGGGAGGCGGGAATTGGGCTGCACCAAATCCCACTCCTGGTTGTTGCGTTTTGGCGATGCACTCGTGTGAAAACATCCAGTGATTGTCTTGGTTTCGTATTGATACAGGAAAGGTTGATAAAACATTGTTTGGGGGACAACTGAAATACATTATTGCGGGAACTGACAGAAGTGTTCATATTGATAATACCTGGAATTTAAATGTCAATTAAATTGGACTTCTAAACACGAAACGATAGCTAAATATGTATGTACGTGCATATCTCGTGTTCAACAGATGTATGTAAACATGTTTAAGAAAGAGATTCCCATAAAGCTTTGTAAAATGTCTTGTCTTCGCATATGTTTAACCATATGTGATTGACGTTGTAGGTAAATAAAAACTGGGAATTGTGTATAATTACACAATCGGTTTAAATATATAACCAGATAAAAGTATGATATATATATTTCCCCAAAAGGTTGTACTTATTTCGGCTATAACTAGTCTTCAGTTATCAGCGTTTTTGCATGATGTGGAGCAGTTGGGTGGCCTACTGGTTAAAGCGTTCGCTCGTTACGCCAAAGACCCGGGTTCAATTCCCGACATATGTACAATGTGTGAAGCCCATTTCTAGTGTTCCCTGCCGTGATATTGCTAGAATATTGCTAAAAGCGGCGTAAAACCACACTCACTGTTGCATGATGTTGCGGTTTGATGATTCATTCAACGTATAATCATTATACAGTATCTTGTTTTATTAGGTTTAATGACGTTCAAATTGAGGCATTAACATATATATTTTTTATATAAAACACCACACTATTCGAACGAATATAATGTTTACAAAACTTAAATGAGGTATAAAACGCAACAGTCGTTACCAAAGTTCGGTATATGCTTCATATGAATCAGATCATTAACCTAATTTTATCACAAAAAACGTCGTCCAAACGCAGCATCTACAATCAAAACTTGGTTATCGTTAAGCGTGTGACGTCAGGTGTGTCTAGCACAGTAGGGATCGATTAGAAAACATGTGAAAACACCATTTTCCTCGGCAAATTAACCCAATCGCTGTGTCGGCCCACGAGTGCACTGTGTGCCTGAGGATGCGAGGAAACGGGATAGCATATCGCCTGTGTATTTTCATAAGAGGTTAAAACGGAGGCTGGTTTTACGAAACGCGGGGATATGAAAATACCAGATTGTACAATTTCCTCGCGGAATTTAATGAGTATCCCAGGCTTCCTGGTGTTGATGAAGATAGGATATATGACGTCACGGCACAGTACATTGACCTAGTAACTTTCGGTCTTATGTACTGTGTTTAGTGGTAGAGCGTCCGCCCGGAGAGCGGAAGGTCCGGGGTTCGATCCCCGATCGCGTCATACCAAAAGACGTTAAAAGATTGTACTTGTTGTTACCCTGTCTGGCGCTCGACATTAAGGGGATAAAACAAGGACTGGTCGGCTCGGAGTCAGTATACTGTGTCTGAGTGGGGTATTCATGTTAAACTGGGGCATGGTATCTCAGTGAGCTAGCACTATAAATCGGCATCAGTCCGGACTAGTACAAGCAGCCACACACACACACACACACACACACACACACACACACACACACACACACACACACACACACACACACACACACACACACACACACACACACACACACACACACACACACACACACACACACACACACACACACACGTGCATGCACAGTGTGGAGTGTATTGACAGTGTAGGGTATATTGACAATGTAGTGAGTGAGTGAGTATGGTTTTACTCCGCGTTTAGCAATATTCACGCAATAGCACGGCCGGGAACACCAGAAATGGGCTTCACACATTGTACCCATGTCGGGAATCGAACCCGGGTCTTCGGCGTGACGAGCGAACGCTTCAACCACCAGGCTACCCTATCGCCCCTTGACAGTGTAGGGTATATTGACAGTGTAGAGTATATTGACAGTGTAGAGTATATTGACAGTGTAGGGTATATTGACAGTGTAGGGTATATTGACAGTGTAGGGTATATTGACAGTGTAGAGTATATTGACAGTGTAGAGTATATTGACAGTGTAGTGTATACTGGCAGTGTAGAGTATATTGACAGTAAAGGGTATTTTGACAGTGTAGAGTATATTGACAATGTCTTGATATATTGACAGTGCAGATAGATTTGAAGACACACACATAGAGCGATGTATGTGAAGACACACACACACAGATAGATTGATGTGAAGACACACACAGATAGATGGCTATGAAGACACCCCACACACAAAGACAGATAGATGGATGTGAAGACACAGAGAGATAGAGAGAGATGGGTGTGAAGACACACAGATAGATTGATGTGAAGACACACAGATAGATTGATGTGAAGACACACAGATAGATTGATGTGAAGACACACACAGATAGATGGATGTGAAGACACAGAGAGAGATAGATGGATATGAAGACACAGAGAGATAGAGAGAGATGGATGTGAAGACACACACAGAGATAGATGCGTGTGAAGACACACAGATATATGGATGTGAAGACACAAACACAGATAGATGAATGTGAAGACACACACACAGATAGATGAATGTGAAGACACACACACACAGATAGATGAATGTGAAGACACACAGATAGATGGATGTGAAGACACAAACACAGATAGATGAATGTGAAGACACACACACAGATAGATGAATGTGAAGACACACACACACAGATAGATGAATGTGAAGACACACAGAGAGATAGATGAATGTGAAGACACACAGAGAGATAGATGAATGTGAAGACACACAGAGAGATAGATGATATGAAGACACACAGAGATAGATGGATGTGAAGACACACAGGGAGGTAGATGGATGTGAAGACACACACTCAGATATATGGATGTGCAACAGAATATTATCCGGATACAGTGTTAAGTGCGTCGCATACATACATGTTATACATACATTTCAAGCCAGTCATTTCATTCAAATATGGAGAAGACGAAAGAAATATTCATTGATATATGTCCATATAGGTAGCACGAGCTTGGGTGAAGGTAAAGTGATTGAAGGAATACGTTTTCATTGTTAAACGCCACTTTGGAATAGAAAGTTGGCGTCAGAAACAATCTACTTTCGTTTCCTTATATCTATGTGTATGTCTTCATATCCTCATATCTATGTGTGTGATTATATATCCTTATATCTTTGTGTGTGTCTTTATGTCCAAATATCTGTGTTTAGTGTAATATTGCTGACTGACTTTCAAATAAAAGGTCTCTGCATATGCTTATATCTACGTGTGTTGTCATATCAATATAGAATGTGTGTCTCTTCATATCGTTATATGTGTGTGTCTGCACATCTACTTATATCTATGTATTCATGTCCTTATGTCTACCTGTGTGTCTTCATAACTCTTACAAACTTCATATCTGTGTGCGTTTCTCCATATCACACATCCACAACGTGTGTATGTCTTCATATCGTCCATCAATCTGTCTATCTCACATCCATCAATAATTTGCTGGTATATCTATCTTTTTTTAATATACATCAATATTTATATTCGACAAAGTGAAAAGAAGATGTAACGATAGGTCACGCGAAAACTCAAATCTATATCTTCAACACTGGCATTTCGTCGTTAACCAATGTCAACATTACTTGACACTCGTCTTTATAAAACAGCAATTCAGCCGCTTACACATAAGTAGGTCTCCATTTGCATCATAACCTATTGTTTCCGTTTCAATTTTCCTCAGAAACATTAATTATTCTACATCGCTATCTGACTCCAACCTTGTCCAGAAACGACGTGTTCTTGAAAACATGAAGATTCAGGCACCATTCGAGACATCTGCATACGCTGTTGTATGTCAACCACTCGTCATCAGCTTACAAACCAAATTCTTCCACCAACATAATTTCATTATATTCATTCCTTTGAAGTACCAGCAGACATAATTATCTCGGTCAGGGGTTCAGCGTGCCGCTGACCGACTTGACACCAAGCAGTGCACCAGGTACACTACCCCCCAGCATCTCGACCCTGCACGTTCTTTATGGAGGTATTTCTTTCATCGTTTCTCAGCAAAATAAGGTTGGTCTCTCCAGTAGGGTCGGAACTAGCTATACACGCAGTGGCCCAGTGACAGAACTACCGAGCCTGCCCAGAAACGACCATTTGGAGAATGTCTTTAACATGCTCAGGTTGAAACGAACGTTTCTGATGCCAACTTTTTACTTCCAAAGTGGCGTTAAACCATGAAAACGTATTCCTTCAATCACTTTACCTTCACCCAAGCTGGTGCTACCTATATGGACATATATGAATGAATATTTCTTTCGTCTTCTCCATATTTGAGTAAAATGTCAGGCTTGAAATGTATGTATCAAAAGGAAGATTTTGCGACGCACTTAACACTGTATCCCACTGTGACGCCTATCTAACAGGATAATAATCTGTTGCACACAGTGAAACCCCGTTAGTCCGTAAATCTCGCTTTCCGTTCGATAAATGTATGGCATGTCTTTATATGCTGGTACTACCTACCTACGTGGGTTTACCAAACACATATCAAACGTTTTAACCTTAAATATATACGTATATGAATCCTAAGACTGTGACCTTGAATCGAATGAGCCTGTTTAAATTAAGCAATTTATATAACTTATTACTAATGAGTTCATTCTAGGGTAGATAAGACATTAATTAATAGTCAAAAAGTAAAGAAATATGTATTTCCATATCTTAAACGAATAATAATACCAAGGACAGTTGGAGCTATAAAAATACAAAACTACTTTATTTCCTGTATGTACACATAAATATTATGTACAACGTCACAATACTAGCACAGCTAGTTCTTCTGGGCACTGCTTGGCACACAGCACTGATACCGCCCACATACGTCCTTCAGCATCCAATCAGAGACGTCGTTGTCTGTGCATCGGAACCTGCACCAGCCGCCATCTTGCCCACAGTGATGGTCGTCTGAAGCTGACAAAAACAATACATTACAAACGATTGCGAGTGGTTGCAACATACTCGGGTCTACAGGGAAGGTGCGCACTTATGCCCCTTCTTTATCAATCCAAACATTTATATATTCGGCAATTTTACAACTGATCAGGTGTACTAAAACCAAACAATAATGCTCCTTCCCTTGCTACTGCCAAATGTTGGCAGCGGTGGTCAAGAAGGGGAGAGAGCCTCGAAGATGACCCCCAAAAACGACCCAAAAAAACCAACCTTCAGCTGGCACCACGAAGGCTTATGTTGATAAAATACAGGATATGATTTAGGATGATCGACGACTCACCACACGTCACATAGACAATACATCTATCATGAGAAATCCGGAGGAATGCACTGGCATTACATAGGTTTCAGCATGCTGGGTTACAAGGCTTCTGGCCTGATCGCAAACGTTCAGGCTCATCATCTTTCATGGGAATCTACGTCGTTAGGAAGCAAACTCAGTTGATTTTGTTGAGCGATTTGTACCCATGGATGAGTCTTAGGTTCACCACTATCAGGCAGGACTAAACAGCAGTCTACATACATATGTTATTCCACCACAACCTGTTTTATACTGCTATCTTGGAAAGCAACATATAATTCAAGTTGTAGGAATATTTACAAACAAACAGTGACGTAATATATTCCTCACCAAACTTTGTTTACTAACAGAATTCCTATTTTGATGTTGATTTTCAACGTGAACATCGATCCATGAAATGGGAAGGAGATTTTAACTATTATGCAAGTCCATGTAAAAACGGTACTGCTGTACCATGTGGGTCAGACTGCTGTACCATGTAGGTCAGACTGCTGTACCATGTGGGTCAGACTGCTGTTATGTACCATGTGGGTCAGACTGCTGTACCATGTGAGTCAGACTGCTGTACCATGTGGGTCAGGCTGCTGTACCATGTGAGTCAGACTGCTGTACCATGTGGGTCAGACTGCTGTACCATGTGGGTCAGACTGCTGTACCATGTGAGTCAGACTGCTGTACCATGTGGGTCAGACTGCTGTACCATGTGAGTCAGACTGCTGTACCATGTGGCTCAGACTGCTGTACCATGTGAGTCAGTCTGCTGTACCATGTGGTCAGACTGCTGTACCATGTGGGTCAGACTGCTGTACCATGTAGGTCAGACTGCTGTACCATGCGGGTCAGACTGCTGTACCATGTAGGTCAGACTGCTGTACCATGTGAGTCAGACTGCTGTACCATGTGGGTCAGACTGCATGCCTCGGGTGGTCCTTCGGAATGCAACTCCTACTTCAAAACGAAGATTCATTCACAAACATCACCAAACAATGTTCAGTAAAGTTGGAAGACCCATCACGAACCCATCTCCATGCATTATATCTTATCGTATTTTGATAATTGATCCTGAATTTTAATGTACCTTTACAGCTAATACATACAGCGCATGCTATCATGCCAAACTGAAAACGTCCTTAAAAAACCCTTTATGGATTGATTATTGTTGGAGAGATACAACAGAAACTATCGACACAAGTCAGCCAGCATAGATCGTGCATCAACAAAAATGTTTCCAATTGGTTCTACCAACATTTCTGAAAATCACTCCATTCTTTGCACGGAAATCTACCATCCATCTAATACCCCTTTATGCAGTCGACCTTATAGAATGTCCAGAGACTGCTGTGTACAGCAATGCAATATGGATGTAATGACAACATAAACGACTTGGCAGTCGAACAAGTCAAAATAGGAAATTGCATCGGACATCATTTTTGTAACTCATTTTGGAAATGTCCCCCACATGTCTACTGTAAATCCTTTCGAAAACATCACTGATGCCATGAATGCTGTAACACTGAGCAAACAACTTCTGAGCAAGAGTTGTATGACGCTATTTGAAATCTTGGTAGAAAGAGCATGCTCGATTATACCTCAAAAGTTGATAAATGTAAGCACCAAGGACTGGAGCTGCAGGAATAATTCTCGACATAAAGGGGAAGTTGACTGTTGGAAAGTTGAAATCCTCGCTCTTGTCATACCATCTTGCCGACAGTGTTTTGTCACTCTGAATCTCTATGCATATATCTAAATATGAAACAGATGAAACCGTCTAACTGGTCTCCTGTATGTCTAGTACAATTTGCTATTTGATGATTATTGAACGATATCGGATCATCGATATACCTGAAGCTTAGGTTTAAATTCTTGACCAAATTACCTTGTTCTGACCTTGCCACTCCGACCAGAATTCTGATTCATATGCATAAAGAAGCTGATCCGAAAGAAAGGAAGCACAATAGGTGCCCATGGGGATGCCTACTTCTTGCCTAAATCTCTTACCCCAAATAATACATAGATGTTATCAATGAGGAAGTCCAGCATTTCACATATTGTTTTCTCAGTGCGCTTCAGATGACATTTGCTTTCATTCTTGATAAATTGACCTGAAAACAAACTCCAGGATGTGTTGTCTGATGTCCAGCACGCCAACCTCACATGTGGTATTGTTCATTAGCGACTTAAGTAGATTGTGCCCCCATCATGCCTCTTTCTTCAGCTTGTTGTATCCGCCTCAGATTGCCTTCTACGACGTACTGTCATCACAGTTGAGAAATATATGCACCAACATTTTAAAGATATCTTTTGTCCGCTCCGGGAAAACCGGATGACTTCTTGTGTGTACGGATTGTAGTGAGTGGTGACGAATAGTACATGAACTAATCAAGGTCAGTCACCGTTGTGATGTGGTCACACGGAACCGATGAAGGACGTAACGTTATACAAACAAGAGATGAAAGGGTTACATCAGGATATTGCTGAACTACTGCCGATGTGTCTACATCTTAAATCATTCACACTCTAATATGGTTAACACTGAAATAGGATGACGAATGCTATCTTCACTTGCAATATTATACAAAGTCATATATTTTGTCAAAGCCACCTTACTTCTGCAATTTCAGGTGTTTTGATGTGGTCTGCAGCAACTACGTGAATCAACTACATCAACATCATTGATACTGCCCTTATTATGGTTCCATTCGCCGCTGTGGTCGATATCTGAGTAGTTATATTCTGAATGATCATTCCATCAAAGCTACGGTAATTGATAGGGTTCTCGTCTGATACATTAATTCTTTTATAACGATACCATTCAATATATTTACAGGCCGCTGCCTCTTATCTCGTCAGATCATCTCTAAAGGAGAAAGCTGCCCCTTTGAAATCATGATGCCCACGGAGCTTCAGTGTTCAAGGTTGAAAGTTCTTTCACTACTTCACGGATCAAATAAAATCGTTCATACGTTTGATAAGCTCGCACGGTATCTATATCATGTAAAGTTAAGGAGTGTGTGTGAGCGTGTGTGTGTGTGTAAATGTGAATGTGTATATGTGTGTGAGAGTGTGTGTATGTGTGTGCATGTGTGAGTATATGTGTGTGTCTGTGAGTGTGAGTGCGTGTGTATGTGTGTCTTTGTGAGTGAGCGTCTGTGTCTTTGTGAGTGTGAATGTGTGTGTCTATGTAAGTGCGTGTGTATGTGTGTGTCTGTGAGTGTGTGTGTGTGAGTGTTTGTGTGTGTCTGTGAGTGAGTGTGTGTGATTGTGTGTGTGTGTGTGTTTGGGTGTGTCTGTGAGTGTGTGTGTGTGTGATTGTGTGTGTGAGTGTATATGAGTGTATGTGTGTGTTTGTGAGTGAGTGTGTGTGTGAGTGTATATGAGGGTATGTGTGTGTGATTGTGTGTGTGAGTGTATGTGTGTGTCTGTGAGTGTGTATGTGTGTGTATGTGTGCGAGTGTGTATGTGTGTGCATGTGTGAGTGTATGTGTGTGTCTGTGAGTGTGTGAGTGATTGTGTGTGTGAGTGTTTGTGAGTGTATATGTGTGTCTGTGAGTGAGTGTGTGTGAGTGTGTATGTGTGTGCATGTGTTAGTGTATGTGTGTTAGTTAGTGAGTGTTTATGTATGTGTGTGTGTCTGTGTGTGCGAGTGTGCATGTGTGTGCATGTGTGAGTGTATGTGTGTGTCCGTGAATGTGTGTGTGTATGTTTGTGTGTGAGTGAGTGAGTGTGTGTCGCCTATTACGACCACCACAGCTAGCCGGTGACCAATTCTAACCTGGAATTCCCAGGCGTTAAATAGAGTGTCTGCTCCATGTTTTGGTGACCATTTCCAGTGAAGGTATTGAGGCTGTTACTTGAACATCGAGCAGACTCATCACTCATCACAGTAATCCTCACTTCACTGCCACGAATATTGAAACTCGTCTCGAACACGTGCATATCACATGACACAAACTGACGTCAGCTAATAATAACTTATCTATAACCGAAAATAACCTTCTGTTGGCATAGTTGCAAAACAAAGTATATGCCTTTTGGCTGTTATGCGGAGAGTAACCTGTCTTCAAAGCCGCCCGTTGGGATGTAACAAAACCTTATTATGAAGGTAACAGAATAAACCGAGCAGATGCGAGTTTCCCTATTGGCATATTGAATGTTTTGCACAGGAGAATGGCCTTGATTGACTTGTTGTACATATAATCATAATTTATTCCTACCAAATATCACCAATCAAGCTGAACCAAACGCACATACTTGAAACACGAGGAATTCTAATACAGAATTTGAAATATCGGGCAAAATGGGTGAGTCAATGTTGTTTACGCATTGCATACTACCAGTGTATGATAGCAGGAACAACATTCCACGCCGTCGTGTGCGATCACACACGATGTGACCGCCGGAGTAGGAGTGAGGTGCTTGTTATCTGTAATGTGAGGAGTGAGTGAGTGAGTGAGTGGGTGAGTGAGTGAGTGAGTGAGTGAGTGAGTGAGTGAGTGAGTGAGTGAGTGAGTGAGTGAGTGAGTGAGTGAGTGAGTGAGTGAGTGAGTGAGTGAGTGAGTGAGTGAGTGGGGTTGACACATTTTACTGATCGTTGAATGGAACCGGGACCATGACGTGAACAGGAAACACTAAAACCACAAAGTTTCGCTTCTTCCCT